GCATAGTTCATGTACCCATTTATTTTATCTTTACAGTTTCTAGGAGTTTCATTTAACTGTTTTGGGTTTGGAGTCTTTTGTGCCTATAAAATGGCTTGTGCTTGTACTTGAGAATTGATACATTCAAGCCAAGAATAAAGAAGCATTTCTGGAAAGTTTCTTCTTGTGTTCCTCCCCAGTCTTTCCTCCCAAATCTTTATTTCCAACATGCACATTGCCTCACCACCCAAAGGAAAAAGAACGGTATAGAGCAAGCAATTATACAGCTGCCAATGAAATTTGCATCTAACAAGAGCACAATTAACCATTCCAAAGGCCAACAAAAACGGAACATGATAAGGTTTATAGAGATGAAATACTACGAACTGGTTGGAAGAAAAAGAAGAAAAAAATTATTAAACAGAATCACCTTATACATATTCACTCCATCATCAACGGCTCTCTTAAGATGATCTAATATACTATCAGTACTTCCTTGGCGAACCAGAGTAGAAACTCTGTTTCCACCTTCTTCACTTCGTCAAATAGTGACCTACAGTTAAAGAAAGACAAGTAAAACCTAAACAAAAAATTGAAATAAAGATAATGTGACTGAAGTTCTATATCATACCTGAACTCCACCGATTTCCTCAACCGAAACTGAATCAACATATCCCAGGTCATCTGGCTTTGGCTAGCTGAGTTTCAACTGTTGGAAACATTCAGGTACGTTAGAGAGCAAAATATACAGTTCCTAACATAATCTAGAAATAACTTGCTTACAAGAGCAACAGCACCAGTTGTGTGGCAAAATCATTGCAGTTCAAACTTTGAGCTGATTTTTAAGACCATTAGCCTGGAAGGAGAAACTTCAAAATTAGAAGCCAATGCTATGGAGGATCGAGACAAAAACATTTACAAATATCAAAAATAGTGTATCAAACATTTTTTTTAGCCATCAACTATCAAGTCCTTTAGTAAGCTTGCATCTGATCCTGATGAAGACAAGAAAGAACAAAGTTGAGAATTATTAGGGAAAAGAAAAAAAGAACTAGGAAAGTCGATGTACTTGTAATGCTCACAGAAATGCAATGCCATTTCACCAACTTCTCCATCACTAACAATAACTTTGGCATCAGAATCAGCTACTGCTTTGATGAGCTCCTCAACCTTAGCTTCCTCAGTTTTTGCATAATTCTCTAGCTGCATTATGACACTGTGTTAACCTTTCAAGTTTTAGCATCAAATTAGTAAAAGAAGCATATGAATACTTTCAGAAAAAGACATGGAAAAGCATTTGGAAATAAAGTGAGAGAGGCAGTTAAGGCAACATTATCTAGTATTGAGGATTGGGAAACCATGCATGAAGACTAGTAGACAACCATAGGGATGAAAGGATGATGGCATCTACTTAAAAAAGCACTCCATCCACCAAACAATTTTACAAGGGAATATTTCATAATGAATTCAGTGAATTGTACAAAGGAGAGATATGATTTTGCAAAAATCTGAGGATCTGCTTAAGCCTTACCTGTTCAGCACTATGGATTAAGACAGTTCCTTTTGTTTCAGTGGCCGAGGTATCAACACCACTAACAAACACAGCTACCTGAAAAAGGGCAATGCACACATACATGTTAGAGATTCCAAGACAAAAGAAATCCAACCTTTCAATAACAAATTGACAAAAATGAAATAAATAGAAAAACAACCCCACACCTTTGCCTTCTCCATTTGCTTTATACTTCCCACTGCATCGTTTTTCAAAACCATACCCCAAACTACTGTGCATTTGTGCTGTTATGCAGACCTCCTCCCAAGAGCTTTGCAACACGCACATTATCAGCATCAAAACTTACTGGGTTCTTGGGGCAAACTTGGATACATGCCTTCAGCACAAAAGGGGGAAAGAAAATGGTTGCCACAATTAGACAAAGAGCTAATAAAATAACCACTCACTGGAAAAAATGAATAGGATAGTCAATTAATATTAAATCAGCTATAAGGGAACATAAAAGATCTTCTTGTCCAAATTGCTTGCTAGCAACAGCAGCCTTCATTCTGGTGATAACTTGCTCCTTAACCCTGACATCCATACTTTCTGAACCTTTCTCTACTAGCTCAACTAAAATCTCAACAGTCTGCATATATTAGAAATAGGTATTAGAACAGTTTAATATATCCAAAAAGGTTGAGAATTATCTTTCCATTCCATCCCGTTGGCAATGCATTGAGGAAACCTTGTTTATAGCTTTGGTATATCCACTGATAATCTCACTTGGGTGCAGGCCAGTCCTAATTAGCTCCTCTACATTTTGGAGGAGCTTTCCAGCAAACGAAATAGTCAAATTAGGAGCATCACCAATTTCTTCTTATTGAGCCTTGCCTGCGAGAACCAATATCTTGGCAGCAGGGTGTTGAACCTCAAGCTCACTTACAATAGTAGCAGCATCATTTGTGACAAGCAGCTTGTCCAATCGATTTATAACCATCTTATTCATACCTGAGTTCAAAGAAATTACAAGGAAAATTACGGAACCCTTCTATAGAAAACAGAATCAGAGAAACAAGACAAATAAAAACTGCTCAAATGGAAGATGATGTAATGAAAACTGCACCTTTTTTTTTTTTTTTTTTATCAGCCAACTGCCTCTATTATTTAGACTCTAAAAAAGGTTGTCTCTAATGAATAAAAATCTTCTTCTTTAAAAAAGACAAAATAAAAGGCCAAATTCCTTATTTAAATTATTTATATTATTACTTTTAGGATAAACATCCTCAATCATTTTTTTCTCCCGTCAACAGCCTTTACTTTTTAAAATCAGCTAAAAACCCAAAATTTGACGGCAAAAGCCACGTGCATGCCGTTAAACCCGTTCCTTTTACTTTCCTGGAACTCATTCAATGACCTACCCATCTGCAGACATGGATTATCTATTTTGTGATGGGCTATTAATAATTAGTGTAATTTTATTTTAATTTGGAAAATTAGTGTTCTTTATAAATAATTTATAAATTTTGTAAAATATTTTAAAATAGTTTACTAAATAAAATTTTTATTAGTTTTAATAGAAAAATAACAAAAGAATTAAATCAAAGTTAAAGTAGAATAGTCCCGTTTAGCAAAACAGTTCACAATAGATTGTAAGTTGTTAAAACATATTAATAATTATGGTTTTTGTTATAAAAGAAAATTGTTAAAAGGAAAAATTGAAATAGTATGTAATAAATGCTACAGTTCCTCAAATAATAAAAATGAGGTTATTCAAATAGTGAAAATGAAGTTATTATCTTTAAAAAATTAGTTTTAAAGAGTAAAAATTTACAAAAAAAATATGGTTAAAAATTAATTTGACTAAACAAAATGGAATTGTTGTTAAAAAGTTAATACATTCGAGTAAACTGAAATTAAAGTGAAAAATAGTAAATAAATTTGAAACTATCTAAAGATAATAGATGAAACAAAAAAAAATATATAAAAGTTATTAGATTATTTATTAAATTAAGCCATTTTGTGATATTAGAAATAAAAGTGCAATAAATTTAAAAGAATAAATGAAATTAAAGAATAAAATGAAGAAAAAATTATTACGTGACATTAAAATATTTAGTAATAATTACATAATAAATTTAATAAAATTAAAATTTATATTATATTACATAAATTAATAATATATTAAATATATTTTTTATCATAAATTTATATTAAAAAATAAAAATTAATATTTAATTTATTAATTATCTAATTAAATTCACATACTTAATACTGACATTAAAATTAATATTAATTTTTACAACTTTTCATATATATTTATAATAAAAAATATTTTTAACTTATATTTTTAAAATATAAATTAAAAAAACTCTATTACATAATAGTTATAATTAAATATTGTCACTCTATTAAGAAAATGGTATCTTGAATTTTCTTTTCATCGAAAAATGAAAAATCGCTCACAGCCACTTTGTTGCCTCTACCTACCTGAGACCTAAAATGTTAGAAACTGAAAAGAAGGAGAAATATCTGAAGAAAGGTTTATTGCTTTCTTGAATTATACTGTATGTACAATGACCTATATATAGGTGTTTACAAAGAGAATATTTTAAGGTATAAAGTATACAAAGAGAATATTCTAAAGTATAAAATATTTACAATAATTCTAAATATAATTATGTTCACATCTTAACAGTTATTACATGGAACTACAATGAGACTCCTCTTCTGTCTCTTTGTCTGTCTAATTCATACTGTAGTTCTAAAGCTAAAAAAAACAAAAAATGAACTTTTTTAAACGTGCTATAATTAGTAAATAAAAAAAATATTGTTTTTTAATTAAATTTTTTTTTAACTATTATATTTTTATTTTTACTAAATCTTAAGTTAAAAAATAATTTTTTTCTTTTAAAAATTTAAATTTTATTAAAGAAAATATAAAAAATTAATTTTTAATTTTTTAAAAAAAATAAATATTCCAAAAAATTTTAAAAATTTTATTTGAAAATATTTTTAAATGGCTCATTTTTTGAATTTGCTTTTAATTAAATCTTGCGTTTATAAAGAAGAATTTGCCTTTATTTTCTTTTAAAACAAATGCCTTTTTAAGGTTTTCCAAATAGCCTCCTAGTATGTATATGTTTACAGGCAGAGCCAGTGGATTTTTTTGGTTAATCAGTCCCCATGCATCTTCAACATCTGATGGACTGGAATGTTAGATCTGGACGGACAGGGAAAACACAATTTTACGTCCTCCAAAATTGCATTAGTATTTTGAGGGAGGCGGCGCCTGCACTCGCATTTTTCCTTTCCTCCTTTCTCTTTCTTACGCCTTGAGAGCTTACTGAAGGATCAATTCCTTTGTTTACGTACGCATATTCTAATTTTCAGAAAAATTTCGTAAAATTAAAAGTTGATTACTTTAATAATGACTATGATCATTACTCATGACAACCTAATTCTTCGAAATAAACCTAATATTACAAACTACCATATCCTTCACTAAGCCGTACTCCATATGCCTGAAGGAAAGAATATCATAATTATGAACTTTAAAAATGATGCAGAAATCCAAACATTAACTGCATGTACTCACTATTCGTACTCACAAGGGATGGCTACTGAAAAAAATTCATCCTCCATAAAAACTTAAAAATTCCTTGATTGTAAAAACCAACCACTTCTTCCTCAAATTTAAAAAGAAATACCAACTTGATCACTTAGAAGGTGAACTTGTGCCCCCTTCTCCCAATTTAATCTCTGCACGTCTTTTCATTAGAGGCCTTTGAATTTGCTCGGATTTCATCCCTTGCCACCCGAACAATTGACCCTACAGAAACCTCATCATCAGAACCTCAATCTCAGCCAACAACACAACAGGGTTTCTGTATTCTTCACATATATAATTAATCATGGAATTTGGTGGTAACAACAGGCAGAAGAAGTCCTCCTTCTCCCTGCTGGCCAGTCTTTTCAAGCGCCGGAGGCATCATAGAGGGGACAATTCCCGGAAGGAGGAGGAGGTGGTGAGAGTGCATCGTTGCGAGGAAGATAACGGTCCTTTTGGGGTTGCAGACCCTGCAATTAACGAGAAAGCTTCAGCCTACATCGACGAATTCCATGCAAAATCTCACGCGCCCTCCGAATTACTCAGGGATCAGGTTGATGCTGAAAAGGCCTCAACTTTGTTAAAATTAGTGAAGTAATTTTCTAGAAGGGTCATTGTTCATGAATGGCTTTTCATCTTTTAGTTAGCTTATCCACACATTTAGTAGTCATGTACCTAGAGTCTCTAGTTCGTGTGTTGTCCTTACTATGTACCTAGTTTGGTGTATTAGGGGGATGAATCTTTTTCTTCTGGAGTCCTATATATACCCATGTACTCTTCAGTTGAAAGTATTCAAGTAATAGAAGAAATTCAGAGTCATACAAGTTCTGTTCCATTTTAGACTTTTTTGGAGTTCTTTGGTTTGCTTTTCTTCACCAAGGTTGCTGATCTTGGGTTTGTGTGGCTTTGGTTGCACTAAGAATTAATTACAAACTTAACCTCATCATCATCATCATCATCATTTCATTCATTTCTGCATGCAGCCACCTGCATCTACATGCTCTCTCATTACTACTCTCTGCCTTGTATTTCTCTATGGTATACTTCTTAATTTGTGCTAATAGTAATTCATAGTTGTTTATAATGGTCTGAAACAATGTAATGAATAACAAATCAATATATATAGAGAGATATTAATTAGTTATATATATCTTCTACATTAATTTTTTGCCCCTTATACAAACAAGAAAAAAAAAAAAAACATTATTCATCTTCCTCCTCCGTTTTCTCTCTCATCCCTCCGCCTCCTTCCAACTCTTCTCCTTTTCTTCTTTTCTCTCTCTCTCTCTCTCTCCTCCCCTTACGTCCTTCCAGATCTGTTGGGTTCTCAAGGGAAAACCTAATTTTTGAATCCGTTATCCCTTCGACTCTTCTCCTTTGCCATTAATGGGTTCCACTCGATCACCGTCACATGAGGAACCCAGATCTCTTGGTTCTTCCATTTCTCTACACACATATTCTCCGCCCAGATCAAGCGTGAATTCAATTTTTGGAGTTTTGGATAAAAAAGTCTAGAACTTTTCTGGGTTTAAACAAGTTTATTACAGTACAATATTGGGTTTTGAAACAAGTTTGGAAACCAGATATAGACTCAGAGAAAAAAACTTGTCTCCTTCGAGAACAAAAAATTATGTTACAGTGGATTATGTTTGAAGAAACAACGA